ATAACCTCATATGGATGCGAAAGCTGGACAGTGAATAAGGAAGATCGTAGAAGAATTGATGCCTTTGAGTTATGGTGTTGGAGGAGAATACTGAAAGTGTCATGGGCTGCCAAAAGAACCAATAGATCTGTTTTGGAAGAAGTGTAGCCAGAGTGCTCCTTGGAGGCCAAGATGGCTAGTCTTCATCTCTCATACTTTGGACACATTGTCCGGAGAGAACAGTAGCTGGAGAAGGATGTCATGTTGGGTAAGGTGGAGGGTCAGAGAAAAAGAGGAAGACCCCCAACGAAATGGATCGGCCAGGTGGCATCATTGATGGCTTCAAGTGTGGCGGCTGTAGTGAGGTTGGCCCAGGATCAGACATTGTTTCGTTCTGCTGTGCATGGGGTCACTATGAGTCAGTTCCGACTCGATGGCACCTGACTACAACAAAGGGCAGAGTAGAACTGCTCTGTAGGGTTTCCTAAACTACAGTTCTTTATAGGAGCATACAGTCTCATCTTTCTCCCACGGAGCGACTAGTGGGTTTGAACTGCCAATCTTGCAGTTAACAGCCTAGTGCTTAACCCACAGTGCCACCAGGTTTCCTGACTCATAAGGAAGAAAGCCTAGATCAGCATTTCTTTAAATGCATTTCATGGAACCCTAGGGATATATGGAATGCTCCTCTATGTAACATGGAAAAACGGTTCTAGACCAAATATATTTCAGAAATCTTGAGTTAAACATTAGACTTTTATTTTTAATGACAACCCAGGACTTCTCAGCATCCTTAATATAGTTATGCTACAACTCTGCTATAAAAAAAAAAAAACAACAACCAAAAAACAGTAAGGTTCCTTTTCTAAAACCTTTTGGACTGCAGGCCACTGTTTTCAGATCTTGAATTCCATGGACTGAGCATTAGGGAAAGTTATCCTAGGTTCATAATGAGAAGATTTATCTTTGGGAAAAGTGACCTGAACTGATGATCCAGGAGGGCCTGGTGAACATGGTGAGACACACCTTGGCACCACATAAAACAGATGCCCAAATCTTTGTTCTGAATGATTCAGATCATCCCCTCTGCATCACAATATCCCCAGTTACCCGTCTTGGTAGTTTTCTTCTCTCACTGCATGCTTGCCTTGAACTTGGCCTTAGCGAACCGTGTCTTGTATTTCTGCTCTGATTTGAGCTTGCATATCAGTGATTCTGGTTTTTACCCTAATTTGCCTGTGGACACCCTGGGAAAGGTTCATCCTGGTTCAACTCTTTTATCTATCTCATTTTACCTAGAAGAGTGAGCAGGTTCTTATCCAGACAGACAAGAACTGAGCATGTTCTCATGTCAGGGATGCCGTCAGTGGTGAGAGTTTGGACTTCCTCTTGTGTAAAATTTGTTCCCGCTCTTATTTTCAGTTAGCTCCTTGACAGATCTGAAGTTCTGTGATGTCCCTATTTGCAGACATGATTTAAATATGTCTGCATCCCCACCAGCTATTTCCCTAAAGGTTTAATCACCTTCTCCTGGCTCCTAGACTGCAGATACTCTCCCACACAGCTGGGAAATCTTTCACACAATAAGTCACTCATCCAGGGTCACTGGGCCATGCCATCCCCTACAGCCATGCAAATAAATACCCATAATGACTCTGAAGTCTGCATCAAATTCCGGCTGGGAAAATGATTAGGACTTTAAAGTATGGCTCTCAAAGACCTTCCCATTTTTGTTCTCTTACCTTGTAACTTGGGTTCTCATTCCAAAATCCAGTGACCTCATTGATTGCAGCACTTCAATACAGCCCATATACTGGAACAAGAAAAAAAAAAGGAACGAGTAGGAAAAAATAGCACAAAGATGTTTCTTAGCTTCATTGTGACTTCCTGGGGAGAACCTTGAATCAGCTCCTAATATCAGGTTACCTTTGTAGCTTCAATCTACCATTAATGCTTTAAACTTCTGGCCAGTAATAAAAGGACTTGCAAATGCAAACTGGGCTATCAGGAATCCAGGAGTAACAAAGATGACATCAGTGGTTAGAACGCTGATTGAATTAGATTTGGGTTTTGGAGCCTGACCCTGTAAATGTGAATGTTGGCTCTGTCCCTCATTAGTTACAAAATCCTGGGAAAGGTACTCGGCTTCTCTGCATCTTCATCCTGTCATTGGTAAAATGGGGACTGTGGTAGTTAAGGGTTTGTGTCAATTTGACTAGACCAGGATTTTCTCAGTGGTTTGACAGCTGAGATGCAGCTATCTCCCATGATGTGATTTGATGTGATAAACCAATAAAAGGATTAAAGGTGGGAGTCCTGTTATGGAGCTGTGGGGTTAGTGCACTGGATTTCAAGGTCGGTTTGAACCGCAGTGACGGTAATTCAAACTCATGAGCCACTTTTTGGAAACCCTATACAGCATCTGACTCAATGGCACTTAACAACACCCTTATTCCCATCACCCACCAACAACTTCCTAATCCAAGGCTGTTTCTTCCCAAGGGTGTGGCATTCCTCACCTTTAAACTTACAAGAGATAAAAGGAGAGAGACTTGAGCACAGAAAGAGGGACCTACTGTCAATCAAAGAAGCTCTGGTGGCGTAGTGGTTACGAATCAGGCTGCGAACCTTAAGGTCAGCAGTTTAAAACTACCAGCTGTTCCACGGGAGAAAGATGAGGTTTTCTGCTCCTGTAAAGATTTACAGCCTTGGAAACCCTGTACAGGGTCACTATGAGTCAGAACCGACTCCACAGCACACAACAACAACAACAACTATCATCCAGCTAGAAGAGCCAGGAGTGGAATGCATCCTTTGGATGTGGGCGCCTGTGCTGTGAAGCTCCGAGATTTAGGGAAAGATGGATGTCAAGATGTATGCAGATCTCCAAAGGATGCTAGGCCTACAGATGCTGAAAAGAGGCAAGGGCCTTTCCCCACAGCCCACAGAGAGAAAGCTTTCCCCTAGAACCGGCACTCTGAATTTGGACTCCTAGCCTCCCAAACTGTGGAAGAATAAACTTCTGGTTGTTAAAGCTTGTGGTATTTCTGTTATAACAGTATTAGATGAATAAAACAGGGATCCAATTAGAAATGTTGTGAGAGTGAAATTATTTCACACATACACAGCACTTAGAACAGTGTCTGGCATAAGCAGGCACTCAAGTATATGAGGAAGCAAGACTAAATGTGAAAGAAATAGTAAAGTCTCTTACCTAAAGGAACATCAAATCAGATCCCATCATGGCGGGGGGGAAGGGATGTGTGTGTGATTATGGCTGGTGCTGGTTATGTGCCGTGGAGTTGATTCCGGCTCATAGTGACCCTGTACAGGGTTTCCGAGTCTGTAAAGCTTTACGGGAGCAGAACGCCTCATCTTTCTCCCGCGGAACAGCTGGTAGTTTCTAACTGCTGACCTTGCGGTTCGCAGCCCGATTCATAACCACTACACTACCAGAGCTCCCTGTGAGTGATTATATCATTACATAATTGCCAAATGCATATACTACAGAAATTATGACTACGAGAGCTCTGCAGGCCATGTAGTAAGAGGGTTAAGAGAAGGGGCGACAAGTCATGTTATCTGGGATTTGTAAATTTAGCTTGAACACAGAATGTTGGAAAAGGATTGTGGCTTGCATAGGAAGAAGCTTATTTATATTTAATGTGATAGCAGTGGGGAGCACAGGGGTCCCAAGTCCATGGGACACATTCCACTCTTGGCTCTTCTTGCTTGGTGGTACTAGGTCCCTCTGAGAGCTGCTTGCTGATTTAATCTCTTTTCTATCTCAAAAGAAACTGACACAAAATGCAACGTAATCCTGTAGATGAGGGTCCCATTAACATCATAAAAGTGAGGATTTACAACACATGCTAGAATCATATCAGAACAGGATGAATTACATCAGAAGAGAGTGACTTACATCAGATCATATCATGGCTGGTTATGACATCATACTGCATCATCACATAACTGCTAAACCACTGAGAATAATGGTCCAGTCACACTGACACATATTTTGAGGGGATACAATTCAATCTACCCATGACAAATGACAAATTTTATGTTATGTACATTTTTTTTAACCACAAAAAAAAAAAAAAAAAAGGAAGTCATCACATCCCACACTGAGGAGGGAATGGTGGCAATAAGAAAAGAGGGGGCAGATTCGAGCAGCATCACAGAAATAGATACTACATGATTCGGCAATTGATTGATATAGAGAATAAGGGAGAAGGATGAGTCAGGAATGACTCAGAAGTTTCCAGCCAGGGTAGCTGAGAGAGCAGCAATACTATTAGCAGAAACAGGAAAGCCAGGAGAGGGGAAGATGATGAATCGGTTTAGGACCTATTGACTATAAGAAACTGGTGGGTATCCAGGAAATAACCAGCTGGCCACTGAAAACCTGGATTCGAGAATAGCGAAGTGGATGGAATTTAGGGAGACAGATTTTGTAGTCTTTTGTGTAGTTTTCTGAGGTGAGACCATGGGAATAAATCCTCTCAGTAGAACCTTAGAGAACTAGGGAGGCTGCTTGTCAGAGAATTGCCTTTGCAATGTTATGTGAGCCAAGTGGTCTGATTGAAAGTGATCTGTCAAGTCAGCTCCTTGGAAATGATCGCCTTCCCTTGTTGGCTTGCCTTTGGAAGCCTTCCAGCCCTGCTCTACTTGGACATAGCAAAAGCACTGTGGAGCCTCCATGGACACCTCTTGTACTATTTCTGAACAAATTCTTTAGATTTAGCATCACAAGAGTAGCTGAGTTGCCAGTGCCCACTGTAAGGAGCTCTGGTAGCGTAGTGGTTACGAATTGGACTGCTAACCTCAAGGTCGGTGGTTCGAAACTACCAGCTGTTCTGTGGGAGAAAGATGAGGCTTTCTGCTCCCGTAAAGATTTGCAGCCTCAGAAACCCTGTGCAGGGTCACTATAAGTCGGAACCGACTCCACAGTACTTAACAACAACTGTTAGAGAAAGCATGCTGACTCCGTTGCCAAAGGATTCTCAGGCAGACTCCTAGTCATCACACGCTTCTTCAGGTCTCTAATATTGACACGGGAACATTTTTGGATGTTGTATTCTGCCTAGGTCATACTCAGCTTTCTAAGGGTTGGCTACTGTGCTGAAGTAAATAGTCTAGTGATTTCTGTGCAGTAAATCATAAACTAGATTTTATTTATGGGGTAGTTTAAGCAAGTCCACAGTCCTTGGGTTGTGCACATTGTTAATGCCCCTAGCTGCTAACTGAAAAGTTGCAGATTCAAATCCACCCAGCTGGCTACTACTTATGAAAATATTAGCCATTGAAAACACTACAGAGCCAGTTCTACTCTGATGCACATGGATCAGAATCGCTTTGGTGGCAACTGGTGGCAGTTCAGCAAACACATCTCAGAAATTGCATGAAAGTTCAAGGGTCTAAGCCCCATGTTAAGGAGTCTTGGTAGGATAAACACTGGACTGCCAACCACAAGGTTGGCGATTCAAACCCACCAATCACTCCACCTGAAAAAGGTGAGACTGTCTGCTCCCACAAAGACTAAGAGTCTCAGAAACTCTATGGTGGTGTGGTGGTGTGTGTTCCAAATCATAGCGGCACTGCATAGTTTCCGAGGTCATAAATCTTTACGGGAGCAGAAACCCTCATCTTTCTCCTGCGGAACAGCTGGTAGTTTTGAACTGCTGACCTTGAGGTTAGCAGCCTGACTCATAACCACTATGCTACCAGAGCTCCTTTGGAAACCCTATACACTATTAGTTGGAATAAACCCAATGGTAGGGGGTTTGGGTTTGGTTTAAACTACACGTCACGGCTGACTCAAAGCAGATTGAAAAGATTGATTTCAGATCTTCACTGGCTTTTCCTGGCATTAGTTCCTGATACTCTATCTCCTGTATCTGTCAGTCCCCACAAAGACTGGGGGACAGATTTGGATTACACGTCCAGTCCCCCGAGAAGGCCTCATCTGTGCAGAGATGGGTGGTATCTTTCCCTTCAGCTGTACGTCACTGATTTCAGATGAGGAGATACTAACCAGCCTATTGATACATCTTTTTTTGAGAATGTGACCAACCACCTACATTCATCACTCTCTGCCAGAGTGATTTCTGAAAAATGCAAATACATCATATCAGTCATTCTGCACAGAATTCCTCTCATTTATTATCTAAACACAAGGAGTTCTGGTAGCGTAGTGGTTACGAATCGGGCTGCGAACCTTAAGGTCAGCGGTTCGAAACTACCAGCTGCTCCGCGGGAGAAAGATGAGGCTTTCTACT